GCAGCGCAGCAGCAGCCGACACATGCGCCTCAGCGATCAGGATCTCGCCGGTTTTCCGGAAGTAGAGATCATGGAGCAGCAACAGAGGCCCTCGGGCCGAGAAAAAAGGCACAAACGGTCCCACAAGCACGATAGAATTAGAGACAGAGAGAGAGAGAAGATGGAGAAAGAGCTCGGTATGAGACTACGTCCGTTATTTTTTCAATCCCTTGGCTTCGATCAGTAATAATACTCATTCCCTCGACGAGATATGAATGAGCAAGCGTATCAATAAGAATTATGTTTAACGATAATTAATTAATTATTTATTTAAATTACATTAAATTTGACCGAAGGCATTTTATAACGTTTATAACTTAAATTCTCTTGTCTAATATGAATTTCATTATTATTTTAAATTTTCCTTTATCCATTGCTAAATTCATTCCTTCCTAATTTCATTAAAAATATTGCTTCAACGGTATTTGTATAAGAAAGTATAATAATGATATAGTACACTTAAATAGTTATAATTGTTATAATAGAATTTACACTATCAAAACCATGTATTGATATTTTTATTGATATACACTGTATTAATACATAAATTGTTAATGTACATGATAATATAATAATATATAATTTTATCAAAATTCTTTCGGACTCTATCTTAACGATTGTAAATACAATTTAAATATAATAAGGCAATTAATTAATTTCTTCGTAAAAAGTAGATTGTTCCAAAATATGTTATAAATCGACTGTTAGTTAAATAATGTTCAAAATCAGATCAATTCTCCTTAATATAGCGTTAAAAAAAGTTTGGGAAAGTTTCATAATTGTGTTTTTCCATTGTATTGTAAGTTTATTGTAATTAAAATACTATAATAAGCTAATGCAGATAATTCGTATGCGCGGAATAGCTCATCGAGAGAAGCAGGTGAGGGAGCAGACGCAAGCACTGGATGTGAACGTGTACGAAGAATTCGATCGCATGGAGGTGATCACGACCGAGCAGCACATCTCCTCCAAGGACCCGAAGGAGATGACTGAGCAGGAGCTGCGCAGACAAAGGCTATTAGACGCGGAGCGCGAGATGGCCCGTAGGAAGGAGAACTCGCGCATCGAGCTCGAAGCACGGCGCATGAAACGCGGGGAGAAGCGCCAACACAGTCCGGACCTCTTGATGCCCGATCACTCGATCGTTGAGCTTTCGGACGAGAGCGTGAGAATGATGGTTGGCGGCCAGTCGGACGACGCCAGCAGCCACAAGAGCAATCGCTCAAGGTTGTCGGACGAGGAGATGCGAGAGCTCGGTCGAGAGCGCTCGATTGAGAACGGCTCTTCGGACTCGAGCGACACGAGCACCGATGACGACGACGACGATGACGATGACGATTCCAATGACTCTAACGACTCGAACAAGGATTCCAATGACGACTCCAACGACAATTCGGATTATAACAACCCGAGCCCCCTGTCGGTCGACCAGCTTGCCAAGTCCGACAGGTCGGACGGTGACTCGCCCGGGCACGTCGATTCCAATGGCGCGGCTAAGATCATAGAGACCAACGACACAATCAAACAGATCGAAATACAAATCGATCTACCACCATACTTTCCGGCTATTCAGGGTATGCCTTCTTGCTTGACTATTTCCATGCAGTCTCTCTTTCATTTTTAATATTGCCATTTTGCAGCCTGAATTTTATGCGGAATAGCACAATTTTGCTTTTATTCGCCTATATCGAAAATTATCGATTACCTTATCTTTTAATCAATGCTAAACAATACTACAATCACAGTGTTTTGTCCCACAATGGTTTATTTTTCTAATTGAAAACATTTTCTTCTGCGATTTTATTTATTTATTTTATTTCTTTCACAAGCATCCAATTGGAGTAAACTAAAATAAAAATTAAAACATCCTGGATTTATTTCATTTGTTCAACCGCTTAAGCAAGAATGTAAAATATAACCATTAAAATTATAATTAATTTTTATAAGGTAAAATATATTTATTTTTCAATATATACGCAAACAAGAGATAATGTCAATGATAAAGTTCAGAATTGAAATAAATTAGTACATTATAGTAATTATAGTATAAATAATAATTAACGTAATTGATTAATAATTTATGAGCATTATATGGCCAAGTGTGAAATAAAAAGTAAAAAGAAAATATTTACTTAACCAATGATTGTATAGAAAATAAGAATATTATTATAATAATAGTATTATTAATTAATAGAATGTGTTTTTAAATGTCTTTAAAATTTAGTCTTTTAATTTCTGCGATTAATTATTATATACTATCACCAAATTAATGATTAGACTGGATCATTTTCTACAGGTTGTAGAAGTGTCGAAGAATATAAATGTTTGAATCGCATTGCGGAAGGTACTTACGGCGTTGTCTACAGAGCAGAAGATAGACGCACCAAAGAAATAGTAGCTCTAAAACGCTTAAAAATGGAGAAGGAAAAGGATGGATTTCCAATAACCAGTTTACGTGAAATTAATACCTTACTAAAAGCCCAACATCCAAACATTGTTACCGTACGGGAAATAGTCGTGGGTAGTAACATGGACAAGATATTTATTGTAATGGATTATGTAGAGCACGATTTGAAGTCCCTAATGGAGACAATGAAATCAAAGAATCAAGTTTTTATACCTGGTGAGGTAAAATGTCTCATGCAACAACTTCTACGAGCTGTAGCACATTTGCATGATAATTGGATTCTTCATAGAGATCTCAAAACATCAAATTTATTACTAAGCCATCGAGGAATTTTAAAAGTTGGTGACTTTGGCTTGGCAAGAGAATATGGCTCACCACTGAAACAGTACACGTCTATAGTCGTTACACTTTGGTATCGAGCACCAGAGCTTTTACTCGGTGGCAAGGAATATAGTACACCAGTCGATATGTGGTCCGTTGGGTAAGTTATTTAAATAATGATTTATATAATGCTGTTTCTTAAATGATAAAAGTATAAATATTATAGTTTAAATTTCTTATTGATTAAACTAGGCTATTTAAAAAAAATAAAATTTTCACACTGTTGATGCGGTTTTTTTTTTTTTATTTTATTTTATTATTTTTATCTTATATATTAATATATCCAAAAATATAAAAATATTAATACTAATTTGATACTAATATATAATAATAAAGTCTATTATATACAAATAAATATAAAATAAAGTCAAATAAACATTATATTTATATATTTTACCATAATTTAATCATTTTTATTAATAGAAATTAATATTTATAGTTGCATTTTTGCTGAGCTACTAAGGATGGAAGCACTATTTCCTGGAAAATCAGAAATTGATCTTCTGAATAGGGTATTTAAAGAGTTGGGCACACCTAGTGATAGAATATGGCCTGGATACAGTAAAATGCCAATGGTTAAGAAAATACCTTTTGCACACTATCCTGTAAATAATTTAAGACAGCGATTTAGTTTATCATTATCTGATTTAGGAATTGAATTATTGACAAAGTAAGTGTCATTAAAATTAGATAAAAACTTATCTTTTGATAATTGATAGTCTTTAGCGTAAAAATAAAAATTAACGAAGTCAGATAAAAAGTAAACTAATTTCAGTATATTGATAATATAAATTGTTTAGACAAATTTATGAATTATTATTTTTTTTTTTTTTTTTTTTTTTTTTTTTTGTATTTTAATTAGACATAAGCATAAATATATCTAAAAATTTTAAATTGATATTGAGATAAACATTCTTTAAAATTATAAGTATTAAATAGTTTCATGTTTTATTGAGCGTGTAATATAATTATGAAAATTTATTTCAAACTAATATTTAAGTCTTTATTTTCAACCGGTAAAATAAAATTAAAGATGTTAATATCGTATCTTGTGATTGCAATTTGACGATAAGATTGTTTTTCTTTTAGATTTTTAACATACGATCCGGCTCAACGAATCACAGCAGAGGACGCGTTAAAGCACGGCTATTTTACAGAATCGCCTCTTCCTATAGATCCTGCTATGTTCCCAACGTGGCCGGCTAAATCGGAATTTGGCGCGCGAACGTTGAATGCATCGCCTAAACCTCCAAGTGGTGGCAAAGAATTTAAGCAGCTTGGTGATAAAGACGAGGATGAGGATAGTGCCTCAGGATTTCACATGGGATCGAGAGAAGCTAGCAGACAATTACCAGTAGGTGGCGGCTTTCATCTCAAATTTTGACAGCACGAACTCTTACGTGTATACTCATAAACGTGCACAAACAAATGCGTTTGGACACAAATATACATATGCATCCATGCATCTAAATTGTGTACATCCAAGTTGTGTGGTCTTTTTCTACCGATGTAATTGTATGAATCGCGACAAGATGAAACAAAAAATTTAGACAAATAAGATTGTACAGATTAATATTATATTAATAAAAAAAGATTATTATTATGTGATTCAAGTTTATTAAGTTAACCATTATTTTATATTATTTTTTTAAAGTACAGTGTAAGAAAGCAAAATAATTACAGTAAATTTATATACAATTAATTTTATATGTTTCGTTTATATTTCATTTTTTTTTTTTTTTTTTTTTTTTTTTTTTTTTTTAATTTAATGTTTAATAATAACACGTTTTAAAATAAATGTAATTTACATAATTTTAATAAAGCAATTTTATTTAAATGCCTGAGTTTAAATTATATATATTTTTTATGGTTTTAAACGCCTTTGAAAATTTCGATTCACTAGTTTAATACAATATTAAATATTAGTATAAATCAAAAGAAAGAAATAATTTTTATTTTATATTCTTCAAAAATTACTAAAAATAATTCTATTAAAATGAGTAATATTTATTATATATATATATATATATATATATATACATATATACATATACTGTTGTTGATATATGTAATTAATAAAATGATCAATATTAAAGAAAAATTAGTTTTCTAGACCATATTTTAAATACTTGTTTTAAATATTTTATTTGATTTAAATAATTAATAAAATTTTAATTCGATAGAAATGATTTAAGATGAGAGAGCTACAAGCATTCTTTATTGTCGATAACACAACAATATCTTATTACTTTACTACTGATTATTAAAGTAGACACTGCGAAAAGCGTAATTGTTATTATTATATTTCTAATTTGCATTACTTTCCAGCATTATTCATATTCTTTGGTAGGCCTAGTAATGAATTTATTAGTTCCGAATTCCTTTTAGGATGACATAATCGTTGCGGAAGTAGAAGCAATCTTGCAAGCAGATCCGTATCCTGAAAACAAAAATTTAATTTAATTTAGCTCACATACCTAATTATATATATTGAAATAAATTATTCTCTATTTTAATAATAGAAGATGGAAAGTTATGTTTTACATAAACTTTTATTATAATGTCCTATACTTAATTTGATTATGTATTATTTGTAGTTAGAAAAATAGTTTGGAATTTAAGTATATAATAAATGATGTTAATAAAATTAAAATCAAGCAAAATCAATTGTAGATTGAAAATATTTTATTATATATTTAATTATAGTATGCATTGAATATTATATACATTTCATTTGGAATATGATGATATTATATTATAATTATTATAAAACTTGTAATTAAATATTAATTTGGATGTATAATCAAGAATGGTAATTGCTTTAAAATTCTTTAAAAACTTGTCTTATTTCAAAATTTTAAGCATATATAGATAATTGTATAACATATTCACCAATGGGCGTCCATATGGATTATTAGGAATCATCATGTTGTGAGAAATTTCTTCCATTGAAGCAGAAACACAACAAATGATTGTAAAAATAATGAAAGCTCTGCTGAATCGATTCATCCAAAATTTCATTCTTTATTTCTGAAATTTTTGAATAATTTTGTTAAATATTAATATTCCTTTTATCTTGATGTTAATGTTAATTTACTAATTTACTAAAATCTCGATTGTACTTCAGCTTATAGATATTACTTTTTTTTAAGCTTACTAATAATTTTATAAAAAAAATTGATTTGAAATTTTATTTAATTTAAAATAATTATCTAGACATTTTTTAAGTTGATTTATCTAAATGTAATTTATTTTAGGCTTGTTTTACAAATTTTTTATATTCCTATATCTGCGCTATTCTAATCGTTTGAATTTGCATTAGAATTGATTCAAACAATTTTATTCTATATTTAATATCGCGTTAAATAGAACAGAATTGTTCAAAATTATTGAACAATTTAATATTATGTTTCTTTTATTTTTATTTTCGTATATTTTAGAACAATAATAATTACTATTATTATGATGATAATAAATATATAATAAATTGTTACCATTTGTGCTGCTAGAAAAGTTTAACAATAATTCATATTGTAATTTCGTAGCGTATATTGTAAAATTAATAATAACCGTAAGTGCAATTATTAATATAATCTGAATTCATTCAAATTAAAATCCTGATTTTATTCACAATTATTTTTTCCTTATATATACACAAAATATATGAAAGGGATTTATTTAATCAAGATAATTGCAATCTATCCTAACTTTATAACAATTCAATTTTATATTTTAAATGTTTTCATTACACAGTTTCATTACAATGCAAATAAAAATAATTTAAATAGCTATTCTATTTTAAATTTTATATTCTCTTTTACTTCTTTAGTATTATTAGACATATGGAATTTACGTTTTAAACAATAAATTTTGCCAATGTATTTGTTTAGTCAAAGAAAACTGAATACGATCTGACACTTAAAATAACATTGCTTGTTAAGTCACGGTACATCAATATTTGCCACTGTTATATAATTAAAAATATTTATGTGTACACTAAAATTAAATAAGCTTGTAACATTTCGAAGTCTCTTACTCTTATATGCTTGATATGGTCTTTCCGTGTACTCACGCGTTCTCTCTTCCCGTCTCTCTACACTCAACGAACTTTGGCTAATGCAATTTTGGAGTAAGAATCTCTATATTCAGTCGTTCCAGTTTATAATGACAGACACTTTCGTCGAACGCATCTTTTATAGCGCGCATCCCCCCATAAAATCAGCGCAATCTGCTGTCGACGCGCGTGTCTACTGCCATTGACAACTAACCGATCGTCTATTTTTTCAACCCTCATCCCGATTACATCACGGCGAAATTGAAAGCTTCAACATAGATTGTAGCTATCAGTTGTTGGCATTTTTCAGTGAATGCGACAGTAAAATGTAGAAGAAATTAATTCGAATAATAGAATTCGTTAAATAATATATTGAATAAGAAGAGTATTAAAGTAAATTAAATATGTCAGATTCATTGCGATGTATTTGTTAGCTTAGTACAATGTATTATTCTATTTATAAAGACAGAAGATTTTATAATTACGGAGTTATTAATATACATAAATATTGAAATTTAATTTTTAAATTGTTACGTATCATTATGTATAATTATATATGAGAAACATTGTATAATCATAAAAGCAAATTCGTATTTATAAATTTTTTTTTATTATTTATTATATAATTAAATTTAAATTTTGAATATTGATATATAAATTAGTGCAATAAATTTTTGCTTCAAATTATAAAGCAAATTGCTTTATGAAAGTGGTTTATTCGGTGTAACTTCATTATTATTAATAATATTCATGTTTATAAATTTTCCTTGTATGATTACTAAATAAAATAGTGACGATCAAAACTATTAATCAAAATAAATTTTGATTAATTTTTAGTGATTCCATCCGTTTTATTGGTCACTTGAATTTTATTTTCAAACAAAAATGCTTTTATTATAGAAACTTTATCATTCTTTGATGTTTTCGCATTAATTTATACTCATTAATTTGAAATATGATGGTTCTTCATAATAAAAAATATCTTTACCTAATATGCAAATGATAATGAGATACGTTCAACCGCCTCTCTCTCTCTCTCTCTCTCTCTCTCTCTATCTCTCTCTCACTCACTCACTCTCTAGTTATTTAGAAAACCTGATTCGAATGACGTGAAACTGATCATCGGTAAAATCAAAGTGGATTAGGCGAGTAAAAAAAGTATATAAGCCTAAATCAAAGAAAACGAAATGAGGAGATACAAAACAACTGATAGGTCAATGACACGTGACAGCGAAAGTCGTTTTAATTTTCATTGTAATCTTGTGTTCAACCAATGTATATTGTTGTTCTTTCTATTAAAATGATTAATTTTTGAAAAATATATGTGACAAATATCATTCAACTTTATACAAATTCTACGGTTATGAAATTCCTTTATAATTATTCTAATTATTAATTAAATTTTATGTAGAACAAGGCCAGTGCTTTCACATCAATCTTTCAATTAAATTTGATCTTATAATTGTTTTACATTTGAAATGTTGTTTTATAGTTAGATATACAATTAAATATCATTTAAGAATGTGCGTATTCTATTGAATATATAAATAAAAGTGTTAAATGTAGTTATCAACAGTTTTATACAGTTTCAACAAAAAGTCAATTGTATTGAATTATTTTAGCTCTTCGCGTTAAAAATACTATTCCCAAAAATTATACACTATCAAATTATTGAATTGGAAATAACAAATTTTCATCTTATCGTGAGTTCAATGAGAATTCGATTACAAAGGAAGTAGATGGCATTTTCCAAAATAATTTTCACAAGCGTATTTTTCAAGCTAAATATCGGCGAAATACTGTCGAAAAGAAACGGGAAAAAAAAGGCGCCAGAAAAATACACGTCACAGGGATGAGCTGTAATAAGCGATGCAAGAAAAAGAAATAAAAATGAAAAAGAAGTGTACACCACAAGCGCGGAGAAAAAGATGAAGAAATTGTCGAAGGCGGGTCACTAACCACAGAGCGGAGCCGTCTCGGATGGCCTTGAACCAGGTCTTTCGATCACCACAGAGCGGAGCCGTCTCTGATGGCCGTGAACCAGGTCTTTCGATCCAGGGAATATATATATATATATATATATATATATATATATATATAATATACATATGAATGTTTGAACGCTCATAAGCGTCTTCACAAGCTTTCGATTTAATTCTTTTCCTTTTTCTCTTAATAAGAACAGATTCTCAGGTACGTATACAGGCGCATGCTTATACGCCTACAATAGTGCGATAACAAACGGACTGCCGCTGCTTGAGCCCCGTGACGTATTAATTTCAATGAGATTTAAGATTTGTGCCGAGAACCTTGTATAAACGACCGAGTCATCCCATTCATGGAAGCAATTCATTGATACTGCATACAATACAATAATATTGAGTTTTTCAAATAAAATTTAGCCTTCGTTATTACCCTTTATAAACATCGTTTTATGTCCTGTGGAATTGAAGTCGCATGCTCACAATACGAACTAATCAGCAGAATCACACATATAAATAGAACTAAAAGCAATAGTTTGTCAATTCAAATTCTTATCAAACCATCGCTTAAAGTGCATCACTAAATTTATTTCTAGAAGTACTGCGTAATACGAAAATATTTTTAGAACCTGCGAGAACTACAATGCTTAATTATACGAAGTTGCATCTTAGTTAAACTGATTTAAGTAAAATTTAAAACACTGGCCTGAGATGCGGCTTAATGCCTTTAATTTCAATACATTGGAGAATGTATTTAAATTTAAACAAACAAAACACTAAATAACAATATTCGTTTATAATTTTTATTTAATATAGAATATTTAATAGAATTATTTAATAGAGAATTACGTTAAATACACTACATTGTAGTTTAAAGGCAATTATACTATTTATTTGAAATAGACCTTCTTTTTTTTTCTTTTTTTTTTTAATATTCATGTTGAAAAAATGACGAATTTTAAATTGAAAAAAACTGTCTCGAACACAGAAATCTGATTACAGGAAAATTAAAATAATATTTATAAAAAAAAGAGAAAAAGAAAAAATTAATCAAGAACAATTATTGAAGAATATAATTAGTTGTGATATTTTTGTATTCTTGACTTTATAGTAATAATTATTTTTCTATACCTGGCTTTATAGTAGTAATTTTTATGCTAATTTCAAATTTGCTAGACAAATTTATCTAGTATGTTTGAAAAGGTGTTTGAAAAGAAAATGGTTAAAACTGTTATTGATCGTTTGCATACTAAACACTAAAAGATTAAATCAGCTTTCTTAGTACTTTCAAACGAATTAAAAAAAAAAAAAAAAAAAAAAAAAAAAATAAATAAAGATCTATTAGAAAAAAATTAACTATTTGAGCAATAATGCGATTCAATCAATAATTAAAATTTATGCAGAATATATCTTAAGGACTGTATTATAAAATTATAATCTATTTTAAATTTAATTAATAATTCTTATTAAATCAATTAAATTTCAAATAATTGGAGTGGATATACAAAAGTATTTGATATATTATTAGTGTATTCTTTGTATGTGATTCATTAGTATACTTATTTCTAATAATACAGAGCATTTTATTTTTATAATTTTAAGATAACTTCAATACATTTTATATGTTTATAATTTGTTTAGAAAATAAGTTAATTATTAATCCTACAAAGTACTTTAATCTTCGATTTAATCCATTTATAAATAATAAATGGATTTAGAATAATAAAGAAGAAGATACTTTATGAATATACAGAAACAAAATGCATATCGTTAACAATAATATTATCAATTATAGAAATATGATTATTTTTAAATAAATTGTTAAAATATTAGAAATTCATTTCATTTTAACAGCGATAAAAAACTACTTACTAATTCTTACATAAAGTTTTTATAAAAATAATTAAATAATTTAAAATATTAAAAAAATAATAATATACCCTAATTGTATATTTCAATATTAATTAAATAATTATTCTTGAATATAAAAATGATATTTACAATTCTATCCCTATTACTATTGTTTACTTATGTGTATTTACATTTAAAATAAACAATGTCAATATTAGTTATTTAAAAAATAATACTTCTTCCTCCGTGACGTTTTGTGTATTATTTGATATTTCCTTACTTTCGCTTATTGAATATATTTGCTGTTCTTCATTATGTCTTATTATATCGCTTTTGTAATATTAAAAGAAAAAGGGGAAAAGTGGAAGCTATAATTATATTTATTAACGGAATTAAATATCTACAAATGGATTTAAATATCTGTGTTTAAAAAATTAATTATCACTGCTCAGTTATCAGCTGTTGTTGTGAGATCGAATACTATTTTCTTAATAAATAAATTACAATTTTAAATTATTAGTTTCTTATTATTGAGGGGTAGACACTTATTCGAACCATTTAATTAGAAAAAAAAAAAGTTCTTCATAATCCAATTAGAATTTTTGTTGTCCAAATATGTCCAAATTTGAAAATATATATATTTACTGTCTTAAAATGACTCGAAAATTACTAATAACTAAAATATATAATATTTACGAACATCATCAATGGAAAAGCAAAACTTCCGTAGATACCAATTACATGAGATATCATCACCTATCCATTTGATACCTTTAAGTATATTGTTAATTAATTTTATTATAAATTTCTTATAAAATTAATCGAAGCATTTGTGTGTGGCGTTTTTAACACTGTTTAATGAAGTTTAGCATTAAGAACTACGGTTAGCATAAATATTATACTAAATATAATAGTAAAATCGCTTATTACATAGCATTATATTATGCATGTCATTTATTGAAATGTATTTACTAGGTTTGTCGTGAATTTCAACGATATTATGATAAAAATTTAATGTAAAATTAATTTTTTTATTACCGTGTGCCTGTAATTAAGTTATGCAAGAATCTTTTGCATTGTTTGTCCTTAGTTTCAGATTTCTAATGGGGAAGAAGACCGTAAACATGTTACGCTCATCAATTTCCTCTTATTATGTTCTGGAAAATCTAAAAGCAGATAGGAAATTACCTGTCAATTACAATGGTTTTATATATATATATATATTAACGATTTAATATATTTTACTTATCAGTTAG